TGGCTTATATCTCAGCTTTAAAACATACCCGTACAGCTTAAATTAAAAAATGATATATTTCCAAAAATCTTAACCAGAGCCTTATTCTTTTTATTACGCATCAAGCAGTTGATGGTTGCTTTAAACTTACCAGTGAGCCGAGTCCACACACAAGACTAATCAAGGGAAATTGAAGAAGATTTGAAAGCTATGAAAATCAAGGACAAGAGGCATCAAAGTGTTCCCCAAAAATAGTGATTACCAGAGTACATTTCTTTGGAGGATTTATGATTCCCATTCATTTCTGATACTGTGTTAGAATGTCAGAGTAGGACTTGCCAAATATTTTAATACATTATGACTTCGACATGGGTTTTTGGAAGGAGAAAACTGTCAAACCTAAGTACTAAAGACAATGAGGTATCAGAAAGCAGTTGTTCATTTGATTTAAAATCTATGTCCACGCATGTCCTCCAGTCGCCTCATAAGAAGACCCTCTTATGTTTCAACTACCAAGACATTTTTTTGACACATTATCAGCTTTTTCTAATGTGTTCTTTGTCCTATGAATTGTGAGTTAGTGTAATCCAAAAGCAAGGCTCACTTTGGATAATGAGGGCCAGACAGATATGGAACCGGTGTGACCATACTGAAAAGACTCCTGTCACCTCTCACATCATCATACAAGGATGCAAGTGCTCTTATTGTGAAGAGGAGTCTAATATCTAATCCTCCCTTCAGCTAGTCTGACACAATATGGAGCCAGCATAATGTGCGGAAATGTGCAATATTTAATGAGAAAGACATTTTTTAAAAAGGAAGAAATGCTCTGATATAGAACTGATGTTATTGCACCTAAGAAAAAGGCTTTCACCAGTTAGGTACTGTGAAACTTCAAAGTAAAATTACTATCATGATTGTTTGAGATGTAAAGAAATGTATTAGTTCATCACTGGTTCTCAAATTTTCCCATAAAAGCTTTTGTTTCACATGGCCATTCCTGGAACAACAGGGAGGGAAAATTGTTTTAGAGCAGTACAAATAAAGCACCCTTTTATTTATCCACAAAGACATATTTATATAACTAAACTGAATCTAGACTTGGCTCTGAAAATGTGTCCTCGTTACTATTATCTGGTCTTTAGGTCATGTCATCCTTTATTTAGTGGATTTTAAAATAACCTGTTTAATATGCAAAGTGGTATTTATGTAATTTCTGAACATTTTGGGGAGGGTAAATTGATATACATTATTCATTACAAAGCCTGCATTAAAAAAAAAACATAAAACGACATTTAAATTGGCATAACATGTCACTATTCTGACATGAAGTAAAGCTAAATGCAGACAAACCACACACATGCTCACAAAGTACAATCCTGCTTTACTTTCTTGTTTTTCATATTCATTGTATGCCTTGTATTTTCAGGAATGTGTTGAACTGATCTGTTAAGACTTTGGGATTTGATGAGCACACAAAGATTTATTAAAGACAATGAGTGATCAGGTTTACTCTGACATTGCTTTGCTACAACATTAAGTCCCATTCCCATTCCAAATTCTAAGAAACCTTTTCAATATGGAGGCTAACTTTGGCATAAACTATACTCTTTGATTGATTTATCTTTTCTTTTCTTTTTTTGTGAGTTTTATCAGTAGTGTAAAAATTATCAACTCTATAAAGGTTATAGGTTTTTTTTTACACCCTAGCCTATCTCATCAAATTTCTCCTTTGGTCATCAATATCAATTTTTGACATCTTGTTAAGCCCAAATTTGAGTTGTGTTTTAACAGCAAACTGAAATCCAAGCAGAACATTTGAAAGTATTATGTTAAAAGAAATGGTTAGAGTTTTTTTCTTCGCAAAATTACTCAGAGATAATTAAACATATTTGAAGGATCGTCCAGAAATCAATGCAGATGGTAATTTCAGGCTTATCCTAGGTATGCACGGGAAAGATAAGAAAGATTAAATCCAGCGGCACATTAATGAGTATGTAGATGTAAAATAATCCTAAAAGGCATGGCAGAGTTGCTGCAGGAGAAGCCAAATGTCAAGTGCCATTTTATTTTATGGAGGATCCTTTTTAAGTGACACACTTCTTTTTTCATCCAAGCCGCTCAGATCTCATACAGCAGCACAAGGCGCACGAAAGGAGCCTGCATAAAAACCACGACTCTGTGGTGGGATGGACAGTTTGACTTGAGCATGAAGCTTAGAAAAACTCAGAAATGCATCCTTTAAAAAAAAAAGAAAAAAAAAAAGACAAGATGCGTGGATCGAGCAGCAAGGAGAACATTGTTGTATTGTGCGTAAGGTTTTAAATTGGATTAAACAAAGTGTAGATATCCAAAACTAGACTTCTATTGAAACTATCAAAAAATAAATAGGACAAGTGAACATTCATTTACACCTTGTAGCTCTGGTTTCGAAATGTGCATTTTAAATTAAATTATTTTAAAGTTATTACCGGTACTACTATTAATATTATTAGCCTTTTTTTTAAAGATATTTCAGGCATTCGGTACAGTAAACTATATTCATTCAGGTCTAATCTGTCTTGTTTTGCTTGGATATAATATAGAAAATAATTACATTATAAAATGTGTGATGGAAACTGTTATAAAACCTTTGGCTTGGAAATGAGAGGCTTATTTCTGCAGACGATGATTTCGGCTGCACCCCGCGTGCTGCAAATGAGAGCCCTAATATCATGGCCATAATTAATTGTGCAAATTTGTTTCTATTAAATAAAACTAACACATACTGAGAAAACTCTATTAGCCTTAATTAAGCTTGATATCCTAATTTAGGAATCGTGTGGTTGAAAACAAGCCGTTTTGGTAGATTTTTTTTCTCTGTCTGTCTCCGATAGTGAAAGCCTCCCAGCTTCGTTCTGCCTTTGGGCTGCTTCTCCTCCTCTGAGAGTTGGAAATGAGGAATGGAAATGGAAATACCAGGAGGTGCTAAATTAGCTGCCTGATCTGCACTTATTGCCGCATACAGGCCCCTATTACTTTGCCAATCTGTGCCTCTCTTTTAGCATTCCGGGCATGGAGAAGCTTCGAGATAGCAGATTTATCAAATGGGAAAATGAATGCATGATGATCAGTTAAATTGAAAATCAGCGTCTGCATGACAGCCCGACCTGACACCTCCGTAATTAGAAAGAAAAATGATGGCGTCCGATGCATAATAGAGCAAAAACAATTTACACTCTCCCATAATGATCCGGCGTTCAAATTGAAAATTTCTGCGGGTATAAATTGAATTCATAAAGTATGATTCATGGACGACACAGCTCCTGGAGGCTGCCTGGGCATATCGATTGATAGTTTGTCTTGAATCATGCAGCGTGCAGCTCTCAGGCAAGAAAAGCTTAACTACTTAAGCAAATCGCTAATTTCACCTTAAGGCCACCAATGTGCAGCCAGCGATACTCCCATTCAGGGTGCTAATGAATTATGGATGAACTGGGCATACGTCCCAAATAGCCTCAGAGTAGCATGGAAAAACACACACCGAAGAATCCTGTAGGTTATTGCACAATGTATAGGTGAACAATTACCTTTGTTTTGTTTTTTTTTAAGAATTCATAAATACACATGTTTCCATTTTGGTTTTGAATTATCTCTCAACATATCAATTTAGGGTTATTGAAACTATTTCATAAAAACATTTTCGACAGCATTACAAGTGACTTCTACATATTGATGGCTATAATTACATCCATAGTCATAGGGATGTCATTAAAAACCAAATAAATGAAATAAGAAAAATAGCATGAAGGTGCCAATAATCTCAGCATATAAACACCACGCAGACACAGAGGTTAAACCTCTAAAGCACAGCCTATGCAGGCCTAATCTTCAGCATGTTCCCTGTGTGTGCCATGTTGGCTGTGTCCGCCCCCTGCCCCCCCTGTCCCCCCCCCCTCCAACCTAATAAGACATTGCTTCCTAGAGCAAACAGCTGCATGGCTGGAAATTTATGTAAATATTTTGAAAGGGACACTGGCTCAGAAATTCATTTGCGCCGGCTCAGACGTAAAGCTCACCCCTCTGATTATTTTCAATTTATTTGCAAATCAAGACCCAAGGAGAACAATAAAGGGTTTGTGGATTTTAACAAGGGTCTGAGGAGAAGGAGCTGGTGGATTTGTGTCTGATTTCTTTCTTCTCATACAGCCTATACAGCCTATATATATTTTTTTTATTTGCGAATTAAACGCACGCAGCAGACTCGACATTTCCTCCTCGGGTCGACGTGATATTGTGGTCAACACAGCTAATATTGCAAAAGGGGAGCAGATGTCCCAGATCCCGCGTGGCTTCCCTGGGGACCCGCAGCCCTATTAGAACAAATGTGTTCTGCTATTGTAAATAGGCACGTTTTCCTCAGCCCGTCCTATTACAGCCGACGCGTGATCAATAGGCTGATAACACCGAAACATCAATGTAAAGCGACAGAACAATGAGGGGTATCATCGAACATCTATCTTAATATAGCCCTGCTACAAGGGGGCCCTGACAAAGTGGAGAGAGAGGGAGAAGAAGAAGAAGGAGAGGGGGGAAAAAACTCATGAAAATGCCTCCCCACGAATCCCCATCTCCTATCCAATATGCACAAACACACACACTCCCAGCTGCCGGGGCTATTATTTTCCTATTTCAATTTGACACCCAGGCCTTTTCATGCTAATTCTATTATTCTTGGAAGTTTATGTGATTTCATATCACTAGAAATCGGTAATGTATTATAACCCCCTTTGAGCTAAAATAAACTGAATCCCCCTGCAGTAGCCACCGGGAAAATAATTACTTTCATATCAAAACTCTGCAGGAGTCGAGCGGGTCCTTTTCGCCTCAGGCTCGTAACCTCATTTCAGTGGGGGCTTATAGATGAATAAATTTGTTAAGGCAATATACAAAGTACAACATGAGATTTCTTAAGAAAAGCCCTTCCTACTGTACACTAGTCCTGCACTGGATGTGCAGCTATTTAAGGTCTCACACGGTTTCAGGTGCTTGTATACAATAGATTTATTTAAGAAAAAACTTACATATATAAATAGTATAATACCTTTTTTTACAGCTCTTGAGGATTTTTGTTGGTCTCGTGGTCTTGTGTTGTTGTTTTTCTGACAAGTTATCACACATTAAATGATATCTAGAGACTCCTGAATCACACACACGCAGAGAGAGAGAGAGAGAGAGAGAGAGAGAGAGAGAGAGAGAGAGAGAGAGAGAGAGAGAGGGCACATCATTGTCAACAAATCAGCAGAGAGGGGAAACCTAGATTTTTAGAGTTTAAGATGTAGGCTAGTTTGAGGTGAAGCTTTGGCCTAAATGTCAGGTGTTATTTAGAGGCTTTATCAGTATGTTTCTCCTTTTTCTTAACCCCCCAATGCATTATTCCAAGTCTTCTTTAAAGTCTGTCTTTGTTTCTGCCGGACTGTCACCGAGGACACTGCACTCGGGGTCCACAGAGAGCTGGTCCTGGTTCTCTAAATGCTCTTTTCTGTCTGCATCGACAGACGTAACGAGTTGTGGACTGTGTTCGTGGGCGAAAGTCGAATCGCTGCAAATAACAGAGGTGTGAGTACTTTTGCAAGTGGGAAAGGCGGGGGTAGAAGGACTGGTGTGTGGTGATGATGATGATGATGATGATGAACGGGTCTTGTCCTCTGAGCCCACCTGTCCCCTTTGCGCTGCGTCTGCAGACTCCGGCGAGCTGCTCCTACATCCCGCAGAGACACTGCAGCGCGCACTGGACTGGTTTCTCTCTGCTGGGGGTTCACTGTCACTGTGTGTTGTTGTCGTTGCTGTCTTCAGAGCAGTTTGGGGAACAATGAATCCAAGCGGCTGCGTGATGGGATAAAGAAGGAAGTGTCCCTTCCCTATCAAAGGCCGCGAGGAGGGTAAGGCCGCGGGGTTGCGTCTCGGTCTTGCGTCCGAAAGGAGGCTCTCCACGCTAAAGGGGTTGAGTTTCTGCACCCCGGAGGCCCTGTTGTTGGTGTTGGAGCACAGGCTGGACCGGTGGCTGGCTTCGGCCGAGTCCAGCTCGGATCCGCCAGCATCCTGTTCCAAATGTCTTTGGTTGTGGAGCTGGAGCGAGTGAGGTGTTAGGTCGCAACTCGATTGCGTTTGGCTTCCCCCCACAGAGTCATAAGGCGGGCCCGTGTTGTGGTCACTGTCGGTCACGTGCGACACCCCGCTGTCGCTGTCAGAACCCGGGGTGTGAAATAAATCCCCGGACAGCAGCTTGTTCTGGGACTTGAGCAGCCGGCGCTCCTGCTTGCGTTTCTTCTTCTCCATTCGGTCCAGCTCCCTCCGCGCGATCTCCTCCGGGTCCATGGGCTCCCCGCTGCACGTGGTGGGGTGGGCGTTATGGGCAGGTCGACCCGGACCTTTCTTTGTGTTCTCCTTCTTCCTCCACTTGGCTCTGCGATTCTGAAACCACACCTGCAAAGAAATGAAGAGAAAATGGGTCAAATTAGAATTGTGGTGACCAAAAAGCGAATGATAATCAAAACAAATGATGAGGCCACATCCTGCATCTATGTGTAATTTGCAGGCCTTCCATAAGCCCCTAATTAAAATCCAATCTGTGCAAAGAAAAAGCTAGAAAAAGTTGTTATGAAGCCTAACAAAAGACATTTTCATTTAGAGAACAGTTAAGCACAAGGCAAGTTAAGGTCTAAATATTTTTTGTCCAATGTACTAAAAGAACTCAGATTTTTAAATAATAATGCCACTTTAAATATAAGGACTAAAAGACCACTGCCTTTGAACAACCATGTACAGAAAGGCCACATAACGCTTTCAGAATGAAAAAATAAAATAAAAAAGGATACACTTTCCAAGTTTAGGGGTAAATCTTTGCTCTCTGTTCTCAGCAGAAAATAAATAAAGTAAAAATAATAGGTAGGCCATATATAAATAAAAATGTATAAAATATTGTAAAATATATTGGACACATATACCAACAATATTTCTCACTATATATATTTTTTAGTATTTAAAAAATATATATATCAGCAAGATGTGTTTTAAAATATTGTTTAAAAAATAAATATGAGGTCAGAATGTTTTCATTTTTTTTACACTGACATAAGCCATGAAAGGTCTCTGCTGGTAGTTTTTATAATTTAAAACATAGGCATATTTCGATATTTCAAGGCATGCATGATGACGTAAAAGTGACCTCTGCTACCTTAAGATTTTTTTTAATTTTTTTTTACAATTTTTATCACAACAGTTTGGGCCGTAATAAAAAAAAAAGCTGCATGAATGGATAGCTCATAAACAAAGAGTGTAAGAGACACATACATGCATAAAAATCACAAGTGTACATTTATAGGTAGAAAATAAATATTTACCTGAACTCTTGATTCTATCAAGTCCAGCCGCAGAGCCAGAGCCTCCCTCATGAAAACGTCGGGATAGTGGCTCTCATTAAAAGCCTTTTCTAATTCCTCCAGCTGCCAACCAGTGAAATTAGTGCGAGTTCTCCGTCTCTTGCAACCAGGACTATCTTTGTCTGGGTCCCCCGAGTCTGGCAGCAGAACGAGAATACATGTAAACAGTGGATACATATCATTTTTCATAATAACCAAGATCTAAACATAGGCTAATACTACCAATACTGGTTTCGTACATGTGCAGACAAATGTGCAAACTTCAGAGCTGAAGAGGGGGAGAGGATTTGAAATGTTGCAGTGGCACACATACACACGCAGCCAGCAGATTCTATGAAATAGGCTATTTGGTTTTTTTTAAAAGGAGAAACCATTCAGATGTAAACAGAAGCATTTCTTGCTCTAGTATTTACTGACTGACAGGAACATTGTTATTGCTTGGACGCATCATCTGGAATGAAGTGGGAGGTGAAGAATACTCCTCTCTCAGCCTGCGTGTGTGCTTGTTTTCCTCAACAAGACAACTTGTATCGCAATATCCTGTCTTTGTTTCTTTCTGTTTCTGCCTTTGTACATAGACGAGATGTTATTGTGCGTCTTACCTGACAGTTTGTAGTGCTGATTATCTCCATTCATGCCGCAACCCGAAGACAAGAGGGGGTTGGAATTACCCACCGACGCCGTGCAGGAACCATTAAGTAATCCGTCTATCGAGAAAGGGACCGCGGACGCAGATTGAAGTTGATGCCCGGCTAATTCGTAAACGTGATGGTGGCTCAGATGGTACGGGAAGCCCACCATCCCGCCGAGAGAGCCTCCGAACTGGGCGTGAGGTGGATCTAGTATCCTGCTGTCCATCATCCCGCAGGCAGAAGGAAACGACGTCTGGAGGCCAGTGATGGCAATTTAAAAAGCATGCAGCGAGTGTGGCCAACGAGCAGGGGACATGATGTGAAGGGAGGGATGAGCTCTACTTTATCCACATGAACCTCCCAATAATTAGCCCAGGCTCGGGGAATATGAGGCCCAATGAGAAGAGGTAATGGGCTCTGACGTCAGAGGCGCGCTCTGCAAACGCTCCCCGTATCGATTGCTAATTAAAGCTGACATCCACCTCAATAAACAATATCAGAGCTGTCACAACAAGACAGGAGGGCTTTGATAAGAACTACATCGCAGCTACACGGGGGACCCACCGGGAGGAAGGGCTCACTGAAGCCCGGAAATAAAAGGCTGCGCGCGGATAGGTTAGGCCAGGGGCTCCGCGACTTTTTGTTCAGTTGAGGACCCGCAATTACACGAATTTAGAGCAGATTAGAGAATATAAAAGATAGTTTCTTGTTCATTTTTAAATTACATTTGTTTATTTGTATGTACGTGATCATTTTACTATTTACTTTCGGCAGATGTCCTGCTGCAGAAAATAGGATGCTGATCCAGAAAACGAGAAAAAAAAAAACAGCAACAATAACACAACATTTTGTTACATTCAAATATCACATTTCTTTCGAGAAACATTAAAAAAAAATAATAATATTCCTCTTTCCCTTGTCTCACTATGAGATCCTCTAAGTTCAGCTAAACCCCCATGTTAGTTATAGATCATCGTTAAAACGCATTAAACCTTTACAATCCTGCAAGTTCACGCGCAGGGCGTAAAAACAAATAGGGTGATTGTTGAAATATTGGCGTATTTAAAGGGGAGCTGAGATATTGCTGCAGGCACAAAGCAAAAGTGATACCATAATATTTTACTGTTACAAGGCGAAAGGTTCAGTTACGACCCAAAAAGCTGTGTTGTGAAGAAAATATATGACCAAATAAAGGAAAGGACAATAGAATTCAATATCAGGGAATAAAATCCTACATTACAGGCAACATTTCCTGTCAGGACACTGCATTGGAAAGCTGCACCACTTGTGTAACCCCTGCACTCAATATGTGCCCAGCCTAAATCCTGTCTGCTCATTAGGTTTTCAAATAATTAATTCGACTTTATTTATCCCGAGTCTGGCGCTGTCATAATGTTAATCAGAGTTGAAATTTCGCACCCCACTCATTCCCTGACCCTTGGCACCCGGATTGGCATGTTGTAATAACCTGAATCTCTCAACAGAAGCTGCGATAATTGTTACCCTATTAGCATGCAAATTGTTTAATTAATATTATTATGGGCAAGTATATAATCCGCTCGTCACTTGACCCCCGAGCCCAAATAACAACCCTGTGTATTTCAACGTGTAGCCCTACATGTTAATGAACTCCTCAGAAATTATCTCCTCTTTCTATCCGTCCTCTTTTTTTTCTTTTCCAGCAGCTTTGAAGCCTTCCCCTCTTTGTATTTTAACTTTAATTTTAACGCACACGGACAAGATCTTATGAATAATTCCTCCCCATTCATTTCTTTTTGAACATCTAAAAATTCAATAATTGCTTTTCGTCATTTCCAAGCATAGACTGGCTGTCCCTTCCCCCCCCCCCCAACTCGGGCGCACGCGGGAGCTCAGAGGAAGGAAGGCAGCCTCTTGACACAGTCTCCAGAGACATTGCATTTGAATCCGTTTTTCTAAAACCAAGTGACATTGTCAGATTCGAGCTTTAATTAACCCGATAATAAGGCGAACAAGGCCAGCATTCAGGCCTGCCTTGTTACCTTTTTTTTTTTTTTTTTTTACAACGAGCTGCTCTTGGCACGTGCAGGGAAAAGAAAAGAATACAAACATGTCTTTCTTTCTTATTGGGAGTTGTGAGTGTGTTGTTGCAGCTGGACACATAACGTCATTACTGCAGTTATGTTGGATCAATAAGAGCACATGGCCTATAGACTAATTGATTAACTTTCAATCCAAGAAGAAGTAGCCTATGTGTTGGAGTAAAAACATGAAAGATTCACACAGTTAAGGGTTTGCCTCATATGTTTAATGCCAAAATAGGTGCACAAAACAATATCTTTTTAGGAAGAAAATGATTTAAAACCTCCAAAAAGAAACATATCTATTGGTATCCCCCCCTAAATATAGAAAGCAACCTGCACTTTCTTTAAAAATCATTTAATTCTCTTCTATTAATATGACCGTTTGTGGCTACTTTTCCACTGCAGCCTTTGGACAGCCATGACCCTTCACTTCAAACATCATTTAGTCAAGTCAACTTTATTTATACAGCATAATTCACACAACAGAGGTAGACTCAATGTGCTTCAAAGGCAAAGAACACACATGATGATCATCATACAAAAGCAGGCACTATAAGAAGTTATGAAAATAATATACATGAGATAAAACTTGAAATATTACAACAAAAAAGAAGAAAACATTCAAACTGGGATAACAGATTGTGCAAGAAAAGTTTGACCAATTAATCACATACTTCAAATCTTACCATTTTAGGTATTAGAATAGCACGTTCCCTCATAAAAGATGCATTTTTAAGTATTCTGAAGAACAATGTGAGCAGTCACACACACTGAAGACGACAGTGCACAATATATTCAGGAGTGATGATGCGTTTGACTCATGGCCTATTGATCTGTGTGGTTATTGCTTTATGTTAAATGTTTTTTGGCATCATTTAAGAGTGTTGAATGTTGATAAAATCACTTAGGAATTCACCCCAGTGATCGATTGGGCGATGAGAATCAGCAATGGGTCAGAACATCAGAAGTTAACTCAACACACAAACAAACTCCCCACACTCCCACCTTTCATTTATACTTAAACTAGAGTTAAAGTCCAAACATGTCAGATTTCCTTCTTCATTTATTGGACTTTCAAAGTTTATTTTGGGGCCCCAAAACAAACAAAAGTCAACTTAAACTTTTCACTTAATAAATCTCTTTAATGCCAACTTCCTGTGTTGTTTTGTGAGTTTGGCTGAGGCTCCCATTAGAGGATTTTGGAGCAGTATCCCCTCACCTGCCTCCAGATAAGCAGATAAGTGAAATTCATACACTTGCCAACTTCATAAAAGGTGTTCAGATGATCCCAGTCCCAAAATAAGACACAGGCCTTATCAGGACGCCCATCCAGCACTGATTCTTCCTTTAGCAGCACAGAATCAAATTCAGTTTTAATTAGGGAGGCAAATTAATAGGCAGCAGTTTAGGAGTTTAATTACTCAATTAACTTCACGCACGTTAATTTTTAACTATCTAAATTAGGTTGCACATTATTTGATTTGATGATAATTATAGAATTAAATCTAAATTAATTGTTTTGGATGATTTGGATGAACTAGATGCAATTCCAATTAAACAGTAAGGGTGGAAAAAAAGAAGCTGGTTGCCATTTTAAGCTCGCAAATCCTTTGATTCGATTTTAAGCAAGAAACTCTGGCTGGAAATTTCCCTCTGATCCGACAAATTCTCTCTCCCTCTAATCCCACAATTAAAAGTTTCCTCCCATCTAATTATCTGTAATTGTGCCGCTGTCAAAGTAGAATGGAGAAGTGAAAGCGATTGATTTGGACTTTTAATTCAGTTCATTTCTGATAGAAGAGAAAGTAATTCCCTTCAAATTACCTCATTCAATCCTGACACCCTAATGCCCTTCAAAATCTTTTTTTTTCTTCCTCCTCACTCCCCAGCATTTATATATTAAAAATGAAGCCAGAATGACTAGTGCCTCCTAATAATAATAACCAAACTTCCATTAGAATAATAATTTCATTTCAATTAAAACTGACTTATCACCTTTGCTAAAACGTGCTTAATATGCCGAAAATTATCAATGCTTGAAGGAGCCCAAACTGGGGAGTCTAATTGTAATCAGCAAATCAGAGGTGCTTGTCGCTGCCGAGCCTTTGCAGAGAGGCAGCCTCGGAAATAGAACTAATTTACTCAACTCCCCCGGGAAATCCGCTCAACAGATTAACATTTTCAAAATATAGTAATGATATAATTTGAGAAATGGTGACGCCAATTTGTGAGGAGCCTTTGTGCAGAATAATTTGCATTTTTTTTTCTTCCTTCACCACCGCCTGCATTTTGCCCCCGTTAATTACAGCTCTGCAGATGAAGGCTGTGCTGTTTGACTCACTGCTTATTATTCAACTTCAATCTAATAATTCAACTCTACAGGAATATAGGAGAGAGAAGAAGAAGAAGAAGAAAAAAAAAAAGAGTGTAGCCTATCCAAATTTTTTAAGCCATCCTCCATATAATCCCAAATGGTTTTGGATGGGTGGAAGTATGAAAAGGTGCATATATATAGTGTGCCTGTCACTTTGGGAGTGTGTTATTACAGCTCAGATTCTCTGTGCTTGACTACATGTGTGTTTGTTCACAACAAAGACTTTTTCAAATGTGGGTTTGCTCCATTTTTAAGCAACTTGGACAGCCCCAAAAGACTCTGCAACAACATCCCAGTTTCCCGGAGATGTGAAGTAAATAATCCAAATAGAGTCACATTCGTAAACTTTAAAGACATGTAAAGAACTCAATCCAGGGATATAGTTGAGAAATGTAGCTATTTGCTAAACTTGCTGTGTGGTTTATTTGTTTGTTGCCAAATTGGAAGAAGTGAAGGCAGGATAGCGAGCAGTCCCCTCGCTGTTTCCTCACATTACAAAGATCTGTGACTGTTCTCTGCAGCCTGGCCATCTGCTAGAGCTGAAAACCCCCAGAGGTATTTACTGTAGGACGACACTGCAGCACGACAAGACATCGTGTTCTGACACAAATAGACAAACTGTGCTTTTGAAAAAATATGTTTGACAGACTTGAGGGTACTGTTTTAGGACTGCTGTGTCCTAAAGTTGAGATTAGTATCTCATTCTGCAGGGACACAATCACTTTACATTATTTTACATCCTCGTGTGTTTTTAAATTCATCATAAAAAACCTCATGGCTAGTTCACTTACAGACCTTTAGGCCTCTTTGACCTCCAGAATCTCTAAAGAGCCGCTTCAGACTGGATAAAAAGACCTGTG